AATCCATTGAATTACACTGTTACCTGAGTTATCTGCATTCTGAGTATTAGATGCCAAACAAGCAGTTGAAGTCTTGAAGTGGTTACTAGCTGGTGTTGTGATTTCTTGCGGTGAAGCTTGTGATTGAGGATAAGGTGAGTGCAAGATATCCATCAGTTTATGATACTGATCAGGAGTTAGTGAAAGATTCGAATTCTGAGCATTCTTGAATTCATCATTGACATTTTCTTCTAAATCACCAAATGCAATGTGGTTGGCAGCATTTCTTGTTCTTGCTAATTGATTTCTGTATCCAGGAGGGAATCCATGGATTTGGTAGCAAGTATCCACAGTATGGTTCCTCCTTCCACAATGTGTACATATTTTTGTTCCACCTCCACGTCCAGCATTTTGATTGTATCCACCTCCACGTCCACCATTTTGATTGAATCCACCTCTGCCTCGTCCATAAGATGGAAAATTTGGTGGCTTATTTTTGTTGTCAGAAATATTTGTATAAGCTCGAAGATCATTAGAGACTTCGACAACTGCTTCAGATTGGAGATGCCTTTCTTGTTGGATGACTATGGAGAAAACTCTAGCCATATTAGGAATAGGATCAATCATCATGATTTGTGACTTGACATGAGCATATTGCTCATTCAAACCCTTGAGAAACTGAATTACATAGTCACGATCTTTATCAGCTCTTAGTTGGTCGAATGCTCCACAGTTGCATTGACTTGCACATCTACAAATCGGTAGGTGCTTGAGATTATCTAACTCATCCCAAAGAGTTTTCAGTTCAGTAAAGTATTGTGAAATAGACATGCTTCCTTGTTGAAGCTTATGCATATCTTCTTGGATGTCTGATACTCTAAAAATATCAGATTGAGCAAAACGATTTCTGAGATCATTCCAAGCATCAAAAGCTTTGTCAATCCATAAAATTGATCTTGCTATTGAGTCATCAATCGATCTGTGAATCCATCCAAGAACTATAGTATTACAACGTTCCCACGCAGGGAATAAAGGATCTTCTATTTGTGGAGATACAATCACACCAGTGATGAACCCTACCTTATTCTTTGAGAGCAGGGCCATCTTCATTGCTCTAGCCCAGCTATGGTAGTTCTTGCCATTCAACACTGGAGAAACAAGAACCAAGGAAGGATTCTCACTTGGGTGAAGAAAGAAAGGATTTGCAGGATTGGTAAGGTAATCTGGTAAAGGCTGTTGTGCCATTGTTGAAAGAAAAGAAAAAGGAAGAAAATAAACTCTGGTATTCTTGCAAAGAAAGAGAAAATTGCAGCGGAAAGAGAAAAGTAATACCAGAGCTTTAAACAAGCTCTGATACCATCTTACTAGAACTTACTGAACTGAATTTCATTATTGGAAAAGATGATTACAATGAGAACAAAGTTCTACCTTATATACTGACTGAGTCAGATTAAATAACTAACTCTAACTGACTGATAAAGTTAAAACAGAAAACAGAAATGGTAACAACTTGTTAAAACTATCACGTGGGTGCTTCTGTTAATACAGTATCAGTGTGCAAGACTGATGTATCAACTTGGGCTGGACATTGTTGGGCCGTATCTGAAATGGACTCTAATACAACTACTGGCTATAAAAAAAACAGCATTTTAACTTTTATTTTAAATTTTACATTTTTTAAAAGTTGTTATCCAAACACCTAAAATTTTTCAAAAGAACTTTTATTTAATAAAAATAATTTTTTAGGAATAAAAATTCATCCAAATAGATACTAAGTACAAATAGTCTGACACACATAAGTTCGCTACACTAAGTAGCGAACTACGTGCCTTCTAATAATAATAAAGGACTTTGTCATCTTAGTACTTTGCCTACTAATAATAGTTTGACGCACACACTTAACTTTTCTCTCTCCGATACTATTTGACTGTTTGGACTTTATAGGTCCTTTATAAGTTAAAAGCAAATATTTTTATAGGCACATACTTCTTCACTTAGTGTAATGAATTTGTGTGTGTCAGACACATGTTTCAACAGTTATTTTTACTTAGTTTGTTATTACCTCTACCGAATTTTTATGATATTGTCACGTGTTCTGTTTTTGTCATAGTAGAAGGATATTAATTGTCACCTAATTCGCTACAACCAATAGCAAGCTAGATGGCCAACAGAAACACGCCACACCAACAAAATCGAGTTTGTTGTCTACTGTAGCGAACTCAGACACGTGGCATTTTGACAAATATTAAAAAAAATTACGAATGTGTGATACATTGTTCATTGTTCCTTACTCCTTACTAACCTTCAAACCAAAAAAATCGACTCAAGGGAATCACCAGCGTATTTAATTTTCTTTTAACTGAGGGAGCGACATTTTCTTCTACTCATCATCAAGAAGGGCTGTAACATTTAGGAGAATTTATTTGGGTACTACTACATTATTTGTACGGGGATTGTTTTTCTCATTTAACACGAGAGAAAAACAATCTTCTACACACACATATGGAAGAGAGATAAGAGAGAATAAAAAAGAGAGAGAAAATTTAAAGTGGATCCTACATCTAGATAATTATCTCATGTAAAATGAGATAATTATTTCCTTATTTGTATTTATTCTAAAAGAGGAAAATTATTGGGACTTAAAAAGAAATATGAAAATAAGTCTACATTCAAATAGAAGAAATGTTGGATTTGAATTCTCTCATGTGAAAAAAATGATCATATGATCATGTTATTTGATTATAATCACTTATTTAAAAATCATATATTTTTCTTTCTCTTATCTCATCATCAATGAATGAAAATGAGTGATAGTGATCAAATAACATGACCATATAATAACTTTTTCATACGAGAAGATTCAAATCCAAAAAATATTTACCTGTACAGATAATGTCCTCAGAGGCGGAGCCAAAGGCACCTGCTTGTTTTTTTTTTTTACTTATTATATAATTAATTATAAATAACTAAGGTAAAAAGTATAATTTGGCACCACCTAATTAAATAGAACATCAAATCTATATACAAAGTAACAACAAACCATCTAAGTACAAACAAATAATAAGGAACATTGTTCTTAAAATCTCAATTTATCATTACGATTTTACGTTTTTATGATTTTTTTTCATCAAAACGATTTTACTAATATTCCAAACGCTTTTACGTTTTTACAATTTTTTACGATTTTTTTACATTACGATTGTACGTTTTACGATTTTTAATCCCTATCCGATTTTACTTAAGATCTCGATTTTAACAACATTGATAAGGAACATGTATAGTATGGTTATTCTTGTGTTTTACCTTTTTTTTATTTTTATCTTGTATATTTTTTTTTTACTGCTTTATTCTAATCAGTTATGTTATTTATTCTTACTCCTATTTTTTAAAAACTTAATCACAAAAATGATTAGTTAACTTATTTCAAAATTTGGGCCCAACTAAATCAAATAAACCCATTTAAAAGTAGGAAAAAGGGTTTATCTTTTTAAAGGACATGAAGTTGTATCCTTTTAGTTTTTGACACTATATTTTACCGGTAAAACATAGTTATAATATGAAAAATAACTTTTTTTTCCTATTAAGTGACTTGGAGAGAGAGAGAAAATAAATTTTCATGTTATAACTATATCTTACCGGTAAGACATAATGTTAAAAATTAAAAGGACACAATTTGTATCCTTTAAAAGGACAAACACTTAACCCTTGAAAGTAACAATCGTGAAACCAAATGAATAACATGACTATAATTATGGAATACGAAGGTACATTGAACTATTGTGTTTTGGGTTGTTACACACACAAAGAATAGTCAAAAACCTAATTCCCAAATGTGAGAATTTTTCATCGTTCTTATGGCTGTTGCAAACAAGTGCGATGTTCTCTAACGCGAGATATTGAAAATTTAAGGAATAAAAATAATGAAAGAGGAGACGAAAAACAATGCTTATTATACACATAATTATTATATTTGTGTGTTTTCATATCCATAGGATAAGGTTTGTTTGGTTCATTACTTATTATATTGTGGGAGGAAAATGAAATTCTTATGTTTGAAATGTTTACCGAAAAGGTTGATGTATTTTTATATGTTTGTTTTGATATATAATCAACGATAATTGTTCATTTGAGTTTTTAATATTATGTGATATTATTTAGTACATAATTTAGATAATTATGTTAGAATTCGTAGTAATTTTTTTCTGATAAATTTGCGTAATTATCATAAATATTTTGATAATTTAATATGTCAAATTTTTTGACACCGTCCCAGCTCCGCGACCGAGTGTCCTCCTACTGCATTGAAAAAAAATCCCAGCATTCGGAGCTTATATAATCTCGAGTCTCGACTGTTGAATAGCGCAGCATCCTCGAGTTGAACTCAACTTACAACTAATCTTGCTATAAATGTAGTCATCAAAATAATAATTAAAAAAATGGAATAACATTTATCCTTTTAAAAGGATATAAACTTATATCCTTTTAGATTCTAACCGTTGATTTTCGTCCATCAACGGTTATAATTTATTAGATCAAAATTATTAATTAATTAATAATAAATTTAGCCCATTAAGTTTAACTCAATAGATCATAACCGTTGATAGATGGAAATCAACGGTTAAGATCTAAAATGATATAATTTTATATCCTTTAAAAAGATAGATGTTTTTCTCTTAAAAAATATAATATTTATCTTTATAAAAGATACAAAAGTCTATTATTTTATTCAAAAATATTATAGTTTATAGTGAGAGAAATAAAAATAATAGTAGGAATAGTGAGAGGTTATCTTTTAATTTACATATTAAATAAAATTATAATAATAAAAATTTTAATTTTAATTTTAATTAATTATTCTTTAAAATGATAAATATTTTTTTATTAAAAAAAGTCAAAAAAAACGTAATTTTTTACGACATCGAGGAGAATTTAGTAATTTAAAAATAACGACAGGGACAGTTGGCCATGGTTGGCGCAGCAAAGCCATCCATCCAATCGCGTCGGACTCAAATTTTGTTTTCCCCAACTCTCTCTCTCTCTCTGTTTATTTTTTATTTTTATTTTTTTCAATGCCTTTTTCATCTTTCCTCGTTTTATTTTCTTCCCAAATCAAATCCTCCCTAAACTCCATGCCAAAATTGAAACCAAGACCAAAACCCTAAATCCACAATGGTCTTGTTCAGATTGAAAATTCACCTTTGTGGATGCATGGTTGGAATCCCAATGCAATTCAACCTTCATCTCTGAACAATTAGAAATTCAATTCAATTCAATTCCATATTTGGCGTTTTCTTTCTATATCCTTCCAATGATTTCGAATCCAGAGTTAATCCACTATGCGTGCATTGCAAGATCAAACACCATCCTGGGACATCACAACAACAATTCCAAAGACCCAAACATTGAAGCATTAGCCTCCAAATGCATCTCTCTAACCCCTCCAAACCACTCCCTCTACACCCACACCGTCAAAAACCGCACCTACACCTTCCTCATCGACCCTCCTTTCGTCTACTTCGCCATCTTCGATCACCAACTCCTCAAATCCCAAACCCTATCATTCCTCAACCGTATCAGGTCATCCTTTCGTGAAACCCTCGCCGGTTCCGATCATTTCGCCTCTCTCTGTTTTCAGACACAATTCGATTCCATTTTCCGTGACGCGCTCTATCTCGATTCCGTCGATGGCAAGAGATCCGCGACGCTTCCTATGAAGCCCGCTGAAGGGTTGACGAAGAAGAAGAGGCTCCATGAACCCAATGGAATGATCGATGCTAAAGATGCTGCTACGGTTGATCTCTGTGACGACGTCGTTTCGTTGCCGGTTTCGAAGGGCACCGTCAACGATCGCCAGAAGGCCAAGCACGTGTGGAAGAAACACGTGTGGGTTGTGTTGCTGCTGGATTTGTTTGTCTGCGCGATTTTGTTTATCATATGGTTATGGGTTTGCAGCGGTTTCAAATGCATGGCCTATTGAAGATTCAATGCTGAAAATTCTTTTTTTTAAAAGAAAAAAAAATGGTTCCTTTTTTTCCGGGGTTTTTGTCCCTTCTCTTTGGGGGATTCTTAGCTTCCGGTTTTTATCCATAATTGACAAGCATGAAATTGCAGAGCATCAATCTTCTGTACAAATTGGGAAAAACCGGTTTATATACATTAATATATATGGAATTGGGGTTTCGGTTTGCTTCTTTTTTTCAATTTCCCTGCTTTTCTTGATGGGAATTGTATATGAAGATCTTGTGAAGTTATTAACCGGCCCATGGTCTAATCTTTGTGTTATGGTCTCATACACTCGTGAGATTTGTTCAATTGTGCAAAATTACAGATTCCAGATGTTGAATATAATTAATATACTTTCTACTTGCTAAGCATTATTGTTATTCTTAGTTCATGGATTGTTCAGTGATTATGTTAACATCGGTATTTTGGTTCTGTGGGTCAGTAGATGGTTTGTTAATGGGTTTGATGTGGTTGCTTTATGTAATGATAACGTTTAATTTGAACATAAAAGGGCTGGACATATGTCTGAGAGACTATAGAGTGAGTGATCTACAACCAACTTAGGAATCTATCCTTATCAGTTGTCATAAGGTTAATTTTTCTGCACTGTGATGTGGTGAAAAAGATGAGTTGTATTTGGGATAAGGGATATGCAGGTGTTCATGGTGTTCGCCTCTACTAAGTTCCGTGATTTCTGAAAAGGTTCATGTTAGAATTTTTTTTTTCTTTGGCCATATATTTAACAGGTTTAATATCGACATTTAGTAAGTTTTGTTCATAAAATATGTACTTATGGTAGAAAATCTGGAAGCACATGTTAGGTTGGACACAAAAAAATGTTGAGAATGGATTCTGATCTAGTCATGTGAAATTATCTCTCTCTTTATTAATAATAGGAATAAATTGAATTCCACTAATTTAATGCATATGAAAGAGAAGAGATATTCATAAAAAATTCAAATTACCACCCAAGAATGTTACTTTCATACCAAGTACAGCACAAAATAAAAATCTTCAAGTAGAAAATCTGGAAGGCGAATGCTTTTTGGTTCCCTTAAACTCCCCACAATAAAGGAAAAATAGTCAGTTATGCTGTCGGTAAAGCCGGTGCGGTGGGACTAGGGAAGGACAATATTTGTGCTTAAATGTGCTGGCAATTGATGTGGCCAACTATGAACTATCCTCTTTATGCTCATTGATTTGTCCGTGGTCGACAAACAAGTTCAGTTTTAGAGAACCAGCACATGCGCAGCGAACACGTTGCAGACTAGCATCCCAACTTGGAAAAGATAAGATGAGATGTGTACTAAATTACTAATAAACAAACTTTATAAAAATAGCAATCATTATGACAAGTCGGCAAGCTGGCCTCGGATCTAAGAAATATTGAATAATACGATATGTGCCATAATATAGTTTGAAGTATCTGATTAACGTTTCCAACTATATGCTCCTTTCATTATCAATACTGTGTTATATTTGAAATTTCAGATTACTGCCTAATATCCATCTATTTCCTCTTTCTTTTTTCACTCTTATATTTAAACGTTATTTGATGACCGGAAACATTATTTAAATACTTAATTACTTGAATTTGAACCGTGGATAGCCTTCTTCTCATGAATATTATAATACACATATTTACACATATATGATCTTTTGTTTGTATAATTTTTACTATTTATTTTAATCAATCACACATAGTTTGTACTTTGTAGTATACTTACGCTGGACCTCGTTAGTTCACTTAAGTGAGGGAAGTAAGAGAGGAAAGTAACAAGCAACTAGTACTGCTTTCTCTCCCTTCTATTACTCTGTCTCGTTGGTTCAACTGTCTGATGCAAAAGCAACTCTTCTCTATGGAAAAATGTAAAGCAAATGTTATAAAAAATAAAAATAAAAATTAAAGCGAATGTAAAACACATAAAAGATGAATGGACTAAAAGAACATTTTTTTTCATATATTAAATTTATGTTACAAAAATAGTGTACCTTTATCTTTATTTAAAAAAATGCTAATGTCGAATGTATAGCCTATCTACTATGATTCAAAATCTGAAAGATACTGCAATTATTCATGTGAAGAAAATAATTAAATTTGAACTTGTTAGAGGGGTGAGGGAGGAGATATTTCCTTTCGAGGGTGAAGTAAATTAATGTAATAGTGACTGATCAGGCAGCGATATGAACTACGTAGAGGAAGGAGAAAAAGGAAGGTGGTTGGGGGGGAGTAGGGCTCGATTGTGCTTGGTAAATGGTGATTTCAGCAGAATTTGAACAATGATGCAAAAAATACTCCTATGAGAAAGAATGCAGGTATAGATAGTGGAGTGAAGATTCCCATAACGTGTGCGTTGGGTTTGATGTTTGTAATTTTAAATGACATAAATTATGTCATTTTAGGAGAGAAATAGATACAGAAAGATGAAAATCATGGGAGAGAGAAAGTTGGTGATTTTTTATAATTTATAATTTAAATAGAAAAAAGTTATGTGTCTGTCTCTTTCTTAAAATGACATAACTTTATGTCATTTAAAATGACAAACACTTTTCCCAAACTTGTTTTCCAGTAGTGTGCACCCCACTAAGGTATGTGCTTGGTCAAGTGTGTGTGCAAGTGTAAAATAAACTATTTGTCCTCTAATGAGTTAATGGGCTAGACCTTTTGAGTGGCTCATGAAAGCCTATCCAAGACGGTTCAAGAACAAAATTGTCCATGAGTTAATGTAAAAACAAATAATATAATTTTCATAAATTAAACTAGGAATTTATAATTCTCGAGAATTTTAATCCTACGTTACAAACACAAATTAATTGCGGGTCTCACCACTAACTTTAAACAAATAAAAAAAAAGATGGGGATTTCAATGAGTCAGTAGGAAAGGAAAATTAACAAAGGGGAATACTAGTCTCATGTTATAGGAGCCTAGTATCTCATGTCATAGACACAAAACATGTGAGACTTATTCATTTATTTATTTTAAAAGAATGGGCCCCGCATACTTTGTGTCTATAACATGAGATACTAATTTTCTTCAACATGAGACTAGTATTTCCTTTAAACAAATCTAGTAATACAAATATATCAAACTTTTGTTTTAGAAAATGTACCAGAAGAATACTCCTCTCTATGTGCTTGTAACATCTATTGATCTCTTTTGCCTTCTTATTTTTTTCATTCGATATCCTTGTTTTGCCTAAGATAATTGTGGTTATCAACTAATTCAGTATTTTTTTTTCTCTCTCACAAGAAATATTTTTACACCCAAGACTAATCCCTCTTTAGGTTTTGAAAGGTGTAGCCCTGGCCCTATGTGTTGCCAATGAAGTTCTACAAAACGAGTAAAATTTACCAGCATTGAACTTAGATTGCTAATTGAGGACACGTTATGATTAACTAATTTAGTAACTGGTAAAAGGCTCTACCAATGAGACATTGGTTGGGCCTGTGTGACTGAAACTGTTAATTAGGGCCTAAATCCTGTAAATGCTTTTTAAAAGCCCGAAAGAACCGAACACTGTGTGTGTCAAATGTAATGGATCCTAACTCTAACACACCTGGGCCTACGTTAGATCTGTGGATGCTATCATTCTTTTATATTATAAGATTGGGAAAAAAGTTTCTGATGTTACTTTACACAACTTTGTCTAATGTTCATCGAAACGACGTCGTTTTTGAAGTGAGTTAGTTTTTGAAGTGTACAAATCCTTATTTTTGAAAAAACAACTTTAGACAAAACAAACCCTATAAGATTTTATAAAAGTGAGTTAGTTTTTGAAGTGTACAAATACTTATTTTTGAATTTTAGTAAATTAAATTTATAACACATTTTAAAATCCGTTGGTAGAACATTACTCGTGGGTATAGATCTCTCATATAAGTTTTTTATATGGCAATTAAATATATGAAATTATATTAAAATTTGTGAAAACATAGGGATAATCACAAAATTTTCATTAATCGTATACTCTAATGAAGTTCCTTAAATTCCAATTATTAAGCTAGTTTTTTAGGTATTTAATTATTAAGATAATTAATACATGTTTAAATTAACTTATTCTGTATTTAAAAATATTAGTAATGATTTAAAAAAAATACCAAACATGCTGTTAGTTCAACAATTTTGTCTCTCTGCATATATATTTTTGGTTTATATTTTTATAGAATGACACTTTAAAAATAAATTTAAAAGAATTAATTTTATCAAAATAATACAAAGTAAAAGCAGAAAATTATTTTAAATTTTTTTGATTTAAGTCTTAACTCTAAAAGTTTAGAACAGTGAGAGCAAAATTGTATTATGACATGATAGGCAATTAAGAAACTACTTTTTTTTTCCTCCCCCACCCAAAGCACATCTTTCACTGCTTCATAGTTTTAACCATGCATATCAATGGGCATAAAAAATAGCTAATCATAATCCTCTTCATAAATAGTTGCTTTCAAAAATAATATAATTCATAAAATAATACAAGGACAATTATTTTCTCTTATTACAAGAGAAAAATGTTCTCTCATGGTGATACAAATTCATGGCTCATGGTTTAAAAAAAAGTAAAAAAAGGGCTGACATGATTTTTGATATACTTGCATGAGGGAATTAGTTTCTCCTGTTATCCATAATATAATTATGAAAAGGGATGCAATAAATATTAGCCTTTGTAATCTTAAGCAACGATAATCATGGTTATTTTGATAAAGTAAATCCATTTACTATTTTATCCACTAAAATTATAGCTAATAAGGGGAAAGAATATAGCATTGTTTTTTAGAGAGGTTATACGTTTTTTTTTAATTAAATTTTAATCATTAATTTCTATCAATTTAATAGTTATAATTTATTAAAAATTATTAATTAATTAATAAATATAACAGAATAAATTATAATTACTAAATTAATAGAAATAAAGGATTAAAATTTAATAATAATAAAAGTAAGTATAACATTGTACTTAATTTTTTATTATATGTAAAGAGTGGATTATTTTTTTTTTTTGAAGTAACAGTGAAGGGCGCATGTATACACCGTGCACCCTTCCACACTCAGCACATAACGCTCCTCTTCATCGTTTCTCTTTCTGCATCGTCAACCGTTCTCGATCTCTCTCGATACTTTCCTTCCTTAAATTCCCTTTTTATATTTTTCAACAAACTGGGTGCTTCAGATTTGCACCACCAAACACCTCCAAAAGTTTTGATTTTAAACCCAAAATTATAAAAATAAAAAACACCTTCCTTCTTCTGATTTCAGCGATGGGCGAGTGCAAAATTGAGGACTTGCCGTTGCCGGCGCTGTTTGAACAAGCTCGGAAGATCCACGCAACGGCGACGGAATCCGGGGCTGGCCAGGTACCGCTTCGCCTTTGTTAAATATTCCCTTCTCTTGTTTTTTTGTTTCTGGATTTTTTTATTTTTTTTTTGATTGGACATGGTTTTGGGTGGGTGTGATTTTTTCAGGAGCTTTTGAAGAAGGGATGCGAGACTCTGCAGAAGTGCGAGGACATGGTTAACAAGCTGGGTTTGTTCTCTGCCAATGAGACCAAAGAGGATATCAGCACCAACAATCTTAAGTATATTCTGGTACTTGTTCTTCATTCTTCTCAAAAACTTTATCATTCTCTTGGAAACGTTGTTGTTCTTTGCTATTATTATTATTATTATTATTTTACTGAACTTGGTTTTTTTATTGATTTATGCTTGCTTTCCTGGTTTACTATTCGTATTTGATATATCTTCATCCTGTTTTAGTTTAGATGTTTTGGGTTTTAGGTTTTAACATGAGTGTTTTATATATTGAAGGCAAATGAATAGTGTTATGTATGACGAACTTAGGCTGTGTTTGGAAGAGTTGAGTAGGGTCTAGTGGATTTGTTCTTACTTTTGAGTGATAGAGACATCTGTTTGGGAGTATTTTTGCTGATAGAATGGAGTTGTGGGAGGTGCCCAAATCCCTCCTACGCATTTGGATTCAGTTTTTCAAACCCCTAGAATTAGAGAAATTTTTATGTACTTTCAGAGTAATTTACCAATCCATCAAAACATAACACGTGAGACAGAAATTTAATTTGTGCAGTTAGATTAACTGTATGCCCTGTAGTAAACTCTGGGTCATTGAGTATATTATATAAGAATTTCTCATAAAAAGATATAGTAAATTACCCTTTTTTTTTGCTTTTTTCCTTTTCTTTCCCCTACTTTCTGCGTAATAACTACTTGACATTTTATAAATTATAACCACTCCATTACAAACCATTGATCTTCAATATCCAAACAATGTGTAGTTTATTTTTCATTCCACTCAACTCCATACACAACGGGGTCATCCTGGAAATCTGTTATCAACAAATCCAAACTGGAGGAAAATTACTATTAGAAGATTCTTTTAAAAATTACTATTAGAAGATTCTTTTAATCCTTTAACTGAAACTAACTTTTCTTGTGCCTCTACTTACTCATTTCAAGGTTGAGAAAGGAAGGTAATACGGCATTGAAAACTGAGAATTGTGTTTTAGTTCTATTTAAATTTCTTGTTTGAATGGTTTGGATTGCATTCTACTAGAAAGATAGATCCCTGATGGAATAGATTTGCTCTCTTTTGAGCTTCCTTTGGGGGTTAGATATATTTTGGTCAGTAAAAGCACTCACTTGCCATGTTCAGCCGCTATTCAGTTACTTGATAGATTTAGTGGTGGATTTTCTAATGGAATAAGTTTCATCATGGGAATGGTTGTTTATGCTGGTTCCCCCTAAGTATCAACTAAAAGGAATGTGCAGCAATTAGTACTGGCTAGGGAAATTCGTATTTAGAAAGAATTCCTATCATCATTATTCATTTTCCCACCTGATTATTTGAACCTATTATGAGGATTAAAGCTGGACATATGCACCATCTATGGAATATTTGATTCATCTGTTTTAACTTTTTAAGTACCGATTTTTGAAGATAACTGAGACATTAATATTGATAGCTTTTTACTATTATATTAATTTCACATGATAATTCCTGCAGGTTCCCTTTTATCTTGCTGAGTTGACTGAGAAAATAGCACAGGATGATAGGATACCGATTCTAAAGGCTTCCCAAGAAAAACTAAAGGTGAGAGCTGATAACGACCCCCCCCCCCCCCCCCCTCTCTCTCTCTCTCCAAAAACAGCCAATTCAACATAATATGCACAATTTTTATCAAATTTATGTAATACTCATTTTAATTCCCTTTGATTGAAGCTTACTAAAACAAAACCTTTTTGTAGGAATTTATCTCATTCTGTGAGGCAATGGAGCTGGTCCCGAAAGAGGAGTTAGAATCTTATATGCAAGGGGTACCAAAATCTGTTGCTGATCAGCGGGCAAGAAAGGTATTATTTTTTCTATTATTTTATTTTATTTATTTATTTTTATTATAAGACATGCTTTTCTATAGAATTCAGGCACTATAAATGTGTTTTTTCAATCCCTTTTTCCCTTTATTCCTTTGGAAGTGAAAATTAGACAAGCAAATTTGAATGAAGAGCATGATAAATGCCCACAATTGATTTAGTGATTGATTTGTATACGGTTGTACAGATTGCTAGATTTAAACGTCAGAAAGCTGCAGAATCAAAGTTATTGGAAATAAAAGAGCGAAAGGAACGGCGAGGGCGTTCTACCAAGGCAGCTGCCCTGTCGACCCCTGTTGAGGCAGGAGAAGAAGAAGTATTGGATGATGATGGTGAAGAAGAAAGAGAGGTTCGTGTCTTGATCTGCTATTGATTTTAGTGCAATGCTGCTAATATTCTGTTTCTGCTACTCATGCTTTATTTTGTGAGCTTATGCTGTATGCCTGTATCCCTGAAAATCTGTTCTTGCCGGATTGTTTTACCTTACATTAGATATGCTTAAGTTCGGCTTACTTCTGCTCTAAGCTTTGATAATTAGCACTCACTGGAGATATTTAACACATAGGTTAAGCTCTTAAAATTTGGTTTCTGAGACCTATACCGGTCATCTATATTGCCTGACTGGTTTGTGATTTATGAAATGGATTCTGCCTGTTTCAAATGCCCAAAAGCATTGATTTATTTGTATATAATGACTGCAAATTCTGATTTCTGTGAAGTATGACCTGTATCTGGTCACTGTACCATTCATTTTTTTATTTTTTATTTTCAGGCTTGGAATACTACCATATCTTTGGCGATCTGTAAGGTTGGTTCATAATTATGCAACTTTTTTACTTGTTGACACTTTTATTTCCATTGTACTCATGTTTATCTTGCCATGTTTAGGCATTAGATCTGCTGGAAATGTTAAAGAAAGAGGAAGAGATGCTTTCTGCTGTAAAGGATAGACAATCCAAGGTAATAAAATGCTTGGTGTGTGATGCTGCACGAAGCACAGTTGTACCTTGTTGGCTGTTGGCTGTGGGCCTGTTGCCACTATTTTATATTGATATTGTTACACTGGAAATCTTTATTGCTTTATGGAATGTTGTTTAGCTAAAAGTTTAAACTTGAAAAGCTGTTATAAAGTAAGTAGCAGAAATTAATACATAACTAATTTTGTTGTGAGATCATAGCACGTTTCGTATCCTTATTGTAGAATCTCAGGCTTTGTAACATATATAGTTGAATCTATTAGACATATTCTGTTTTAAAGAGGAATGGGGAATTGTACTTTTTTGCTGGCTCACATTTGGTTTTGTTTATTGTTTCTTTGTTATTTTGCCATGTTTTAGGATGGGGATAAGGAGTTCTCTACGGATGTTCTTGACGAACGTGCCAAGAAAGCAGAGGCTTGGCATCGTGACGCTGCTGTTCGTGCACAATACACCAAGCCGTCACAGCCTATAACATGTGCCACTTTTGCTCAAGACGTTCTGGAAGGAAGAGCAAATGCTTCACAGGCACATGATCACAAACACCAACCACTCATATTTGGACCAGCCAGCCTTGTGAATGGAGGCTTAACAACTGAGAGGGAAAGAATAGCAGCTCAGGTCTTCCAACCTGGTCATAGGTACATATTTATCCTCTTTATGAATAAAATGCACATATAGCCTAGCTAATCAAAGGCTTTGGAATAAGGAAACATAAGAAATGTATTAAACAGAGTAACAGACTATGCCTGAAAGGAAATGAAGTTTTATTTCCTTGCAGTTTGCTTTATTGCTAGGAATGATAGAGGATTAATAGCATCATGACACCATTTATTGCCTATGACTGAGAGAAGTGGTTGGGTAGAATTTTGCATATAGACAAATCTTACGGGGACATAATTTAGGCTAAGGATGGACTTTATTTACACCCTGGTTAATCTGATTACATTTTTTGGGGTGGAAGGTTGCCAACCATGAGCATTGAGGAAGCTGGGGTTAAAGAAATGGAAATAATGAATAAATGGCAAGAGACAAATGTCAGACTCATGGAAGAAGCCAATTCATCTTGGTACAAGGATAGGGTGTCAAGGCCTGGAGAAGATGATGATGAAGATGATGATGCTGCACAGGACAAAGCAAGAGCTTTGGATGACTGGAAGGATGATAATCCGCGGGGTGCAGGAAATAAGAAACTTACTCCTTGTGGGTAAGTGACTCTCATCTATTCTTCCCTCGCTACAGAATAGTGGGCTTTGGATAAATCTCTGATTGTAACGAAATCTCAAAAAGTATAGAGTTCATTTGCTCGTAGTTTGTGTTAAAGATTATATGTATGCCAGGGTGTCTAGTTGGTTACATGTTATATTCTTGGAGCGCAATTAGGGTCCTATTATTTTCTGTTTTTCATGTTCTTTCCCACAAATTTTTGTAGAAGTAGCTTGTTTTGCAATTTGTTTATAGAGCTTTTCAACCAGTTTTTCACTGAGGTGAGAGAATGCATTGAAAGAATGACGCCTTAATATATTAACAAAACATGATTATTTTTCTTATTCAATTGCTGGTTAAATTTTACATTCTACTAAAATTTCTTAAAATGCATGTTCGGTTTTGATTAATTTTGAGAAAATAATTGTTTTTTTTCTTTCTTTCTTTCTTTTTTTTTAAAAAAAAGAAAAAGTTTTTCAAGTAAAATTTTGATAAAACAATTTAGTTCCTCAAGTTTCCCTTTTTAGAATCATTCCTTCTTCCAAATTTATTCTCAATTCATTGAAGGAATAATTTCTTTGATAAATCGCTTAGATATGTTCGTTGAATTATGAAATGTTATTTATCGGTCTACATTTCAGAATAAGAAATGCGTGTCTATGAGCCAAGGGTGTGCCTAAGATTGTATATCAAATTTTTTTTTGGCTTTATTAGTCTTTTTTATTAGTCTTCTTTCACATGAGATAGTTATTTTATGTTGTAGAGAGAAAATAAATAAATTCTATAATTATAAGAAAAAAAAGAAAAAGGTGAAATGCGAAACTCGAAATGAGAAAGCATCTTATGTAAAAGATTGAAGTGACAGAGAACATAAGAGAAATTATCAGTTATCTTACGTATTATCTTTTCGAAAGCAATTGCCTGCCTACATTCATTTATTTGTATAATTACTTTTTTTAGTAATATAAAATTTTGGAAAAAGGAATGTTGACTTGTTTCAAGACCAAACAAGTTGCCAGTAATAGGAATTGAATTTGATTTTTACCCAATAGCGAAATCAGGATTTAATTTTAGCTGGCGCTAAAAAAATTGACATATCAAATTATCAACAAAAAAATTTATTAGGAAAAAGGAAAAAAATTTACTTGAAATTTTTAAAGTAAAAGTATTGATATTATTTTAATAAATAATAAATATTTATTTAAAATATAATATAAAATTAAATTAGTATAGAAAGTACAAATTATATGTATATATACATATATGAAAATTTCATGTGATCTTTATGAATATTATTTCATGTGATGCAACTGAAAATTTATTTCATGTTATGTTAATGAAAATTTATTTCATTTTCGTGAATAAATTTTTTTATCTTATATATTTTAATTTGGTTTGGACTTATAAATTTTAGTTTGCCACTTGATAGGCCTTACAAGTTGTATTAGGTTTTTAATTTTTTATAATACGTCAGTCCAGACATATAAATCAAGCTTTCAATAAGTTAAAAGGTCAGCATAGGCTCTAAATATTTTCATAGGCTTAGGTTATCAAAGCTAAAACTTGGCCTAACTTGACCCTTTTGTACCCCTAGTCGTGACCTATGAAGAACATCAACGTAGAGGGACAACAAACTTAACAATTAAAAAGAAATATGGAACAATCAGCGACAAATGTCTAAAATCTTTTAAATGACATTGGATCCACATAAATCATTTAATCAGTGTTTAGATATTTTAAAAATTTTAAAAAGAAGAAGAAGAAGTTGTTAATGAATATGTATAAGAAATTTTCATACTTAATATATATACATATATCTTCATTGATTTTTCTCTTAAATAATTTTCACTGATTAATCGCCAAAATTCTCATTCCTATTGTGAAATCAAATACGAATAACACCAAGAAACAATTCAATCCATTACCAATAGCAGCCGTAGCTCTACATTAAAATAAATATATTTTTTTAAAAAAAAGGTAAACGTAAAACAACACTCCATTTTTGAAAAGAAATAAAATCAATAAATACAACCACACACAAAAAAGTGGTAAATAATGAAAAAGGGGCATGAATTTCACTATGTTAAAAACATTCAATACACAATTATGGTCAGCAAAAACAAAAAACTTCTATTTTACAATGTTCAAAAATGTAAATCAATTTTTTTCCTAGTGGACAATATAATTACCCATGCATATTCCAAGAACATATATCCGTAAAATCTTGAGAAAAGAACGAAATATCACTCCTTGTCATAGAATGGCTGCTGGGTTTCAGGTGGTGAGTGCGAATAAGAAAAAACAAGTTAGAAGAAAACTCTAATTGGAAAAAAATGAAAGAAGAAGAAGAAGAAATTAAGAAGAAAACAACCTATTATCTGGTCAGATACGCAAAACAGCTCCAAATCTTTGTCTGTTATCACTGTTATAATTACTTATATAATTATATATAATAAATAAAATTTGTTGAAATATAGCTAGGATTCATGCCCTACCTAAATATAATATGGGTACGCCACTGGTTCTACCTATAGTAAAACTAAAAATCCTAACCATTTTTTTCCATTGAGAACGAAGAAGAGTGAAACACACTTTTTAACACACACTCTTTGTCTCTAAGGGAGTTTGATATGTTAAAAAGTCATTTATATATTAAGTCAGTTTCAATCGCCATACTAAGAGATAATTTGCACTCGCACTAATCACTGATGCAACAATGCAATCTGTAATATCATATATCAATTTGCATGGACCCAACGTAAACATCAACGAAAATTCGAGATCCGTGGTAGGAACATAGGCTACGACTTCCTTCGTCTAAGATCAATAAATTCTCACTCTTCGTTATCACACTATCGTAGTCAATTCGGTGGATAGATATCTACATCCACCGGTCCTCACAGCAAGCTCGTTATCCTTTTATGTTTGAAAAACAAATTATAAAAATTAAAAAAAAGAAGAACATTTCTATAGTTTATCGGAGATTGCATAGAATGTCATCTGAATTTGGAGCCACCATTACTGAGTTCACATTCCAATGACAGATCTTCGATTTTGTAAATTACGAAATCTTAATGTGCAAACTGCAAACGGTCCGGTGAGTCATCGCCAGGACAATAATATGGACAAAACTATTTATAATTTTAGAAAAATATACTCTTATATTGTAGGAGAGTGTTTTTTTTTCTTAGTACAGTATGAGAGTGTTTTATCTCTTATACATACATCAATTTTCGTGTTACTTTTTTTATCTTTTTTTTTCTTCTATAAGTGAGTGGGTTCCACACATGATTGTCTCTATAGCATGAGAGAGCTCTCTCCTATTATATGGGATTAATAAAACCTTGTAATTTTATATATGATTTGATAAAGTGTTAGAGAAGTATAATATAAAATTATTAAAATCACCTTCACTTAAGAACTTAAATTATGAAGTTGAATTTATTTCTTTATCATAATATTATGGATTCTTACCAACTCTTTTTTCTAATAAATATTTAAATGTGGTATTTTTTAACACATGTAAGTAAGTTTGTGCAAGTTCAATGAACTCTTGTGCAAGGGGCAGCTTAGAGAAGTCTAATACAAAACCATTAAACTAACCTTCAATTAACCGTAAAGTTGTGGAGTTGAATGAAAACTATAAAAGAAAAGTTATGGTATCATTGTTGTGATATTTATGTCAGGCTGACTCTTTTATTAATTATTGAATAATGATTAACTGAATATAATAATCAATAATATTTCAACTGTTATTCTCAATTAGTTGATTATTAATTTTGAGGATGGAAAAGTTATGACTCAAGCTTAAAATTAACATTAATTCAATAGTGAAAAGTTTACTGTAATGTATTGTATAAAAAATAGAGATAGGATATTCTTAAAATCAAATATTTCTATTACTAATTTATTATCACTTTTCAATTGTTGGATCCCATTTTTCAGCAGATAATTTCTGAAAAGTTTCTGGAGAGAAAAAAAATAGCTTTTGATATACTACCGGTAGTATATAGTTATATTAAATTGATAGTAAGAACATTTGATAGTAAAAATATTTTACCTCTAAAACTTGATAGTAAAAATATCATCCTTCCATGAAAATACATAAACTTAGTGGAAGAATTTGAAACCCCCCCTCTTTGGGTAGGCTTTATTGGGACTTAAAAGAGAGGCCTACTCCTTGAAAGTATCTTATATTTTTCTGTCATATAACCCTGGCACTCATAATTTAGTTCAATGTTGTATAGCTTTCCTTTAACAGTAGTCAGCTTTTACGCATCTCAACTCTCAAAAGGAAACGAGTTAAAAGAGAAGCATATCCCTCTAGTACACCTTTAGTGGATGGAGATCCATCATGACCCAAATATCTTTATTGCTTGCAAACTGAGAAATCTGTACTGAATGCAAGATATATTTTGTCTTAGTGCTACTATCAAGGAGCTGAGATGGTAGCATTGTTAGGTATCCCAAGATATTAGAATTTTTTATATTGGGTTTTCTTGTCTATTATATATGGATGTAAACAACTCCCTGGTAATCGTAGGTATAATTTAAGGCCAAGATAAGTGGTCCAACAAAAGTTATTAATTTGGTTGTTTCTGTTTGTATTGATTTGTTATAAGGTTTTATAAGAGTTATGTTGTAAGAAAAGTGATTGTGTAATGTTATAGAGATTCGTTTTGCGTGTCATAATTATTTCTTTTTCTTTTTTTTTTCAAAAAGTGTGGGCCCCAACAAATGTTGTGTGTAGGAAAGTTTGTTGTGTTATGTTAAATGATAAATGGAAACCTTCTTTTATATTATATGCTGCCAATCATGACAGGGACCAACTTGTCAAAATGGGTAAACCATGTTGCAAAGCAACCAGTACTTATTCTCAACTTATACACTTATATAAAAGAAAAACAGAAAAATACACTTTATGTAACTGCTTTCATGCACTTGCAAATATGTACTGTCTATGATAACTTACATTTTTCTTTGTTTGAAGTCTGCTCTTACAAGTCTCTCTTTTTTTAATTATTATTACTATTAACATTTCAGTTTCAGCTATAATTTATTACAAAAATAATGTCTTTGTTGATTCTGGTCATCAATATACAGGTAAGCAACTCTAATTATATACAATATTCTATAGCCAAATTGATTGAAGATATTTATTCTTTTTGTTGTTCAGTTTCTCTCTCTTGTAAGTAATGGTGACAAGCATCCAGGAATCTAGTGCTTTTGCTTGCTAAAATGGTTAGTTAAGACCTGAGGCATAGAGAAAGGAGTGATCAGTGGGGGGGTTGGTGGTGGTAGGAATAGAAGAAATGAAAATTAAAAAAAGAAAAGAAAGGAAGGAGCATGTGGGGTTCATAGGCCAGTCTTTCACTGAAAACCAGGGAGCAAATTGATCTATAGCTTTCTTTCTATTCACTATTATAGACTTCTAAGAGTATACCCCTCCTTTTCAACAGAATGTGCAGTCTAACACGTGCAAACACCCTTCTTTTCTGCATTCTCTGGTCATTTATAGAAGATACCTTTCACATCAGTTACATGATCTTTGCTATTCGGTGTGACTGATGGATTTAACTTGTCCTTTTGGAATACTTTTTTTGTGAACCACTTTTTTCCCCCTGGATGTGAGTTTCAGCAAGGAAAGTGTAAGTTCTTGAATGCTCTTTTAGGGAACTATTGCTTTACTCACACATTGCACCCATCAATTTCACCGGGTATTGCCGTTTCTCAATTATTGTACTGATAAAAATTGTACTGGGATATTTTGGATCCCAATTATTGAATTATTTGTGATCTATTTTTACCAAAAGTGGGTCTGTGCTCTCCCTCATTGGTGTGAATCATTTGAATTGTTATGTAATGTGGGATTTGGAGTTTATTGGGGTTGTTTTCTAACTTTTGGTTTTGAGTTGCAGAGGCCAGGAAAATCAATCTCATAGTAATGGGTGAGAAGGAAATTTCTGTTTTGGATAGTATTGGGTATGACAAGAAGATTGATACTCATAGCATGGTTCCCATGTATTTTGGTGTTTCTTGTGCATTCTTTGCCCTCCAAGTCCTCAAAAAACCACATGTTGAGGTTGAAAAAAGATGGTCTGAAATTCGTGATACCATACTTCAAGGAAGTGCCCAGCTCTTGGGGTTGATTGTGTGGAAGGTTCAGAATGGAGTGACAAATGGGGGAGACTGCAAGCTCAAAAATGCTGAGAGAGAAGTTGAAAATCTGAAAAAGATGAGACATGAGGATGCCAAAGCCAATGAGAAAGTTGTGGGCATCTTTGCTGCACAGGAGCAAAGTTGGTTGAATGAAAGGAGGAAACTTCGCCAGCAGATTGGGGCTCTACTGAATGAGTTGAGAGTTTTTGAGAAAAACAAGGACACTGCTATTTTTGAACTGAATCAGAAATTGAAGGAAATGGAGGTTTTGGTTGAGTCAAGGGACAAGGAGATTGAGGAGAAGAAGAAGGAGCTTGAAGAAAAGCTAACCAAGGCTGAAAAAGATGCACAAGAACTGAGAGAATCAGCTAGGATTGAAGCTCAAGAGCATTCTTCAGATCTCAGGAAGCACAAAACTGCTTTCATTGAGTTGGTGTCAAACCAAAGGCAGCTTGAGGCTGAACTGGGTCGTGCACTGAGGCAAGTGGAAGCTACAAAACAAGAGCTTGGTTCTGTCTTGGAGAAACAAAAGGAGTCAGATTTGATGGCCCAGAAATTATCTATGGAGATTGGAAAATTTCACAAGGATTTGGATCAGAAAGATAAAATTTTGTCCGCAATGTTGAGAAAATCTAAGATGGATACTGCAGAAAAGAAAATGTTGTTAAAGGAGGTTAAATTATCAAAGGCTAGGAGGAAACAAGCCGAGCAAGAAACAGAGAAGTGGAGGGCAGTTACAGAAGGAAAACATGAAAGACATTCCCTAAAGAATATGTTGGTGAACTTGAGTTCAAGGATGGATGTTTTCCCCGGTGCTAGAGGTATGCAACATAGCTCAACAGGTTCATCACACATTGCAAAGGAACCAGACCAATTTTCACCCTTTTCTGGTCACTACTTGCCCCAAAGAAATGAAGACTTATGTAAGATTAATTTCTTCAAAACTTCTATTTCAATTTATTTGTTGTTAGTCTACAAAGCTATATAGCTAGAGCATCTTTTTGTCTTCACTGTTTCCCTTATTTTTATCTCTAGCTATTCCTGCTAATGCCAAGCGTTTGGAAGATTGGATGCGAGCTGAGGCAGAAAGATATGCAACACTGATTGAACAAAGGCATCACTTGGAGCTAGATGCTTTTGCAGAACAAATGCAACTCAAAGATGAGAATTTAGAGGCATTTCGGTGGCAGTTGTTGAGAACAGAATTAGAAACAAAACAGCTGCAGTCCCATGTGGAGGGATTGGTCAAGGATGTGACACAGCTAAGACATGACAAGATGAAATTGGAGACCTTACTTTTGGAGAGAGAAGATGAACTGAATTCACTGAAAGAGCAATTTGCATCAAAATTGAGGCCATTAAACTGCTTTAGAAATAACTCAAATTTGCCTCCACAATCTTCAGAACTAGCCCAAGATGCTGTCTGGTCCAGAGTCAAGGTTCTCAAGAGAAAACCAGGTGAAAAAGTGATACAAATGATGGAAACTTTGATTGAGGAAGATTGTGAAAAAGAAGTACAGTCCATGCCCCATGATCAGTTTAACAATGCTAATTTACTTGTTCAATCTCCAGAAATTGAGATTGAAGAAGAAAAGGGTGTTTGTAGGGGGGATAGTCCTACTCCTATGCAAAATCAAAGTCCAAATCAGGTAGAAGTTGATGCTGCTGAAAAAATAGCATCTACCAGCCAGCATTTTAATAAGACAAAACAGTTCCCATGGAAGATGGATCTGCATGCTCTTGGAGTATCTTACAAGATCAAGAGGCTGAAGCAGCAACTTGTTCTCCTTGAAAGGTTGACAGGAAGACAAGCCAATGATGAACAAACACAAATTAATGATGATAGCAAAGTTGGTATAAAGGCTTATCTGTCCTTGACTACTTTGTTGAATAAACAAGTTGGAAGATATCAATCCCTTCAAGAGAGGACTGATGATCTTTGCAAACGAATGGTAAGCATAGATTCTATATAGTTTTGACACTATAATCCATTTATAATTCCTTTATAATATCCATTTATGATATTGAAAAATGATGCAATGTTGTTTTAACTATTATAACTTCATTTCGCATTGCAAATTTGAGCATAAGTCAAAACATTTCTTGCACATTATTACAGCAAGAGAATGACCTTTATGCAAATCGTGGAGATATGAATGCTGCAAGAACAAAGGAGAAAACATCAACACTGGAGCACTTCCTAGAAGAGACATTTCAATTGCAGAGATACATAGTTGCAACAGGACAAAAATTGATTGAAATTCAATCCAAGATAGTTTCTGGATTTGTTGGAGTGGCAGAAGAGATGGAGAAAAGTGCTGGAATTGACATGAAGCGCTTTGCTGACAGTATTAAAAATCTGTTCCAGGAAGTTCAAAGAGGTCTAGAAGTTAGGACAGCTAGAATTATAGGAGACCTTGAGGGAACACTAGCTCGTGAAGGAATGATATGCTTAAGGAGGTAACTTCAATTTCCTGAGGCATAGAAAAGGGTCATTTGTCTATAGTATACTTGTTACTATAGTTCATTACATCAATTTGTATATGGAAGTCACAGAAAATTTCCAATGGAATTGTTACCTTAGTTGATTTGAAAGAACTCATGGACCCAATATACAAACCAAGGTGACAGAGCATACCCCATAAAGAAAATGTAAAGTTTCTTTTAAAAAAAAAAAATCTAAAAATTGCCTGCTAAAACTTTTCTGGCTATTATTGCTCCCATTTCTGGCTATAATTTGCTGTTTGGTTGGTTGGATAAATAAAAGGTGGAAAGGTAAGTGTACAGTGATTTTTATTTCAAAATTTTCATAGTCCCACTTCTAATATGCTCGACCAAATACACATTTAATCAATAAGATGTGCCATTGATTATCCCTCTAAAAAAAAATGGCCATTTTTATTTCTAAAAATAATCTAAGCTTGAGGAAATAAAAAAAAAATTGTGGCTTTTTCACTTTAAATGCACAATGAATGTAATACTGAAACATTAAGGCACGATGATCTGTATTGATAGTGATGCGTGCGACAGGAAAGAAAATTTGGTCTCTTGGATTTATTGAATCCTACACTAATAAATTATATCTAGCTTATTGTTTGTTTATTCAATTCTAATCACATGGGCTTTGTAAATACTTTGTGGAATCTTTCCTTTGTTTTTTTTTTTTTTTTTTTTTGTTGATCCAATTTTTAATCAATAAGGTGTTTATGGTAGATGATGTCATCTTCTCTAGACAGTCCGTGAATAAAGACCCGTTTGATTTTTATTCTCAAAAATAATTTTTGAATTTTTAAAATAAAAGAGTAAAAAAAACTTATTTGGAAAGGGATGTTTTTATAAATGACTCTCAAAACAATAATAATTTTTTAGTTTTAAAAACTAAAAAACATAACAACTTAGGGACGTTTTTAAAATTTATTTTTTTTGGTTTTTTTTCTCTTTTGCGGTGGTAACTTTATAAATATGAGAATTTATTAATGACACTTTTGTAAATAAATTTAACTTTTTAAAATTTAAAATACTTTATGGTAGCGGTGACAATTCATGTTGAAGTCATGTCTGTGTTGAATTCGTGTCAAGTTGTGTCGATTCGAATTGTCACCTTTACTTTACGGTGGCAATCTTATAATTATGAAACTTCGTTAATGACATTTTTGTAAATAATTATTATTTCTTTATAAGTTTAAATCTAACTATATTCAAACAAGATTTATTTATTTTTACTCTCAAGATCAGTTTTTAAAATTTATATTCAGAATAATTTTTGACAAAAAAAAAGAAGAAGTCATATTCAAATAGAACCTAAGTCTCTTCTCTCCTAGTTTCCTCCTCTGAATTCACAAGTTGCAAATTAGAAGAAAAACATAAATAGTAAAAAGAACAGCAAAAGTGTAAGCACCGGTTCATATTGTCCGTAACTTTTTTTTTAATATATACATTACTTTCGTAATTCGATTCTGTTGTAATAAAGGCTAAAGTTTTCCAAGAATGCTTCTAATATCAATACTTTGAACTTTTTGGGTTGATCCATAAAAGCTAGAGTTTTTCATTTTGGATCGGGAAAGTGTGAACCACAATGCTCAATACAATACATTAATCTTTTGGATTTTTGAACGATCTGATTCGAATTGTCTAACTATTTATTAGTTTAATTTTTTAATAAATAATTTATCAATCTCACATATTCTGACAGTGCATGTTTAAGTTATACATTACCTTATTAGTGATTTGTGCAAAAAATAGTGCGAGTCTGCCATTCATTGTGCATGCAAAACACACAAATGGAAAATACACCACCTGAATGTGCATAAGTGTGATATGACATGTTGGATTTTGCAAAAGTCGCGTACAGGAGAAATGTATGACTTGAATACGCATCATTAGGATACACGTCTTTTTCACATAAGATTAATAAATCTTTATCCAAATAATTTTTTTTGAAAATATTTCAATCGTTTCATTGTTTCGCAACTAATTCGATTCGGGGCGGGTCCAGGATTAAGGCTTTAAACTCCTTCCAAAGGTGGTACTGGGGAGATTCGAACACATGCTCTCATCCCCACCTGCTTAGCTCCCATGCGCCAACTCAGCTACCACCATTTAATTTATCCAAATAATTAAACCGATAAATAATTACAAATTTTGCTTTACACAGACGAAAATCCTAATATTTTCCCTTTATTAGACCACTATTAGTTGGATGAAGTCTTAAAAGTATCGTCGTGGGCTCTAACATGCAACTTTCTCTAAAATTTAAGAAGCAATTCATCACCACTTTGGAAATAACAACTCATCGGGCCCAATATCTCATCTCTTTTATCTTACACTCCTCGGTCCTCGAGCACTCTTTTTTTAATACTATTGAATTTGCTAGATGGAAGACTTGTTTATGTCATCTTCATTCTTCAATCCAATCTCAGTGTTAATTTGGTAACTTTGAGGGGCGTTTGGTACAGAAAAAATTTTTATTTGTCCGAGAATTTCAATTTTTTACATTCAGTTTACGATAATATCTGAAAATTTAAAATTTAAAAAAATTCAGTTTCTCAAAAATTCGAAAAAAATCCGTGCACCAAATGGTCGCTAAAATTGAGAATAAAAATCAATTTATATGTTCTTATTATAATTTTATACAAATTTATTCATGTATCTTTAGCCGATTTTAAAAAAATATATCAAACTATTTATTAGATAAAGAATATTAAAAACATGCACACTCTTTGATATTTATTTTTAACACTTTTATTATTAGATGAATTTCATGTCAATCTACTAAATAAAGACAGAGTCCAAATTATTTTACAAGACTCAAATGATATATATCAAATCATTTCCCTTTACTATAAATACATTCACCAACAAATATAAAATGGAATGTGAAATTTCAGTTGGGGCAATCAAAGCTATACCAGAGATGGACAACACACATTAACATATTGCATATAATGTAAGAGTTTTGAAATGGACAACGAACCTTACCCATTAGCCTGTCAGTCACGTAAATGTCCAAATTAAAACTGCAAACCAAACATTAATTTCTTCTTTGTCTTTTATTTTTTCTTTCGGTCCTGTATGTTTAGGTGGCTTATACCTTCAACCTCTTCTGCTTGCGATCCTCCTATGTATACTGTTGTGCTTTTACCAATAAGTTTGGTTTAATGTCAATTGTTCGGCCACCCTGCTATAAAGTTCCTACTTCCTAGTTGAGTTGGTGCAATGCCCTTTATCTGTTGCTTTGTGTGTCTGTGTGTGTGTATATATATATAAATATATATATATATATATATATAAATATATATATATATATAGAGGCAGGATCTTTTGACTCCGGTGTCAAAGAAAAAGTTTGACACCTCATCTGAGAACCGTTAGATTAAAAAAAATCAACGATTCTGATTTGTAAACATGTGACACCATTGATTTTTTTTTAATCTAATGGTTCTCAGATGAGGTGTCAAACTTTTTCTTTAACACCGGTGTCAAAGGATCCTGCCTCGTATATATATATATATATTTTTTTTTTTTGTGTACAATGTGTGTGTTTTTTTAATGAGGCACCAGGAAGGAGAGAAGAGGCATTAATTGTTGTAAGAGGAAAGAAAGAGAAAAGAAAGAAAAGAAAATTTTCATGTTCAATTTATTTAAGGTGGTGGATGTTTCCACTAGTAAAGATACATTTAATCTCTTGCACTAACATTATAGGAACTTTCGCAAATTTATTTGAATACAAAGCTTTCCCAACCGGTGATACGACTTAGAGATAAGCTTTAGGGGAAATTCTAAGATGTATAACATTGCTCAAATGTGGTCACGCTAATAATAATTTATTGTATAGTTAATCTTCAAGTGGTTAAGAGCAGCATCGAGTTCATTTATGAACTACCATTCCTTTTACGGGACTCCTGCTCTCTTTCTCTCTCACACACCTTTTTTTTGGGAAAACAAAGTTAGAGAGAAATGTGTGTTAAAATGTATAGTTTTCTTGTTTTATTATCTAAAAAGAAAATGATCTGAGAATTATATAAAAAAAATTTATAAGCAAATATCTTTTATCTTTTAAGCGAACTGTGACGAAGAATTACCTTATACATATAAAGACTCCAAATTCTACAAGAGCATGGCTAACTCTAGAACATGAACTAGTTCAAAAAAAAAAAAAACTCTAGAGCATGAAGAAAAGACAAGGATAAAAGGGGTAAGAAAGAAAGTGTTGGGAGTTGAAACAAAATAAAATGAGGTTTACCTAAATATGTAAAGGAAGATTATATTTACAAATTTTTTATTTACAAATTACACTATGTCTTATCAGTAAGACACTCTTGAATAGAGTCTTACCGGTAAGATATAGTGTAGTTCGTAAGTTTATAAAAAAAAATTGTCAATATAATCCTACTTAAAAATGTATGCCAGTTTTATGACTACGCTAATTTTTTTTTTTTTTTTTTTGGTGTAATTTATTATCACTTACCCTTTAACAATGTGATATGTGAAGGTGAAGGAATTTTTTTGAATATAATTAAATTTGAACTATATTCACTTTATTTTTAATTAGAATTATTAACAAATTGTGTTGGGCTTAATGCCGTTTGACATGTATTATTTTTAGTTTTTTTTTTCTTTAAAAGCAAAACTTAACCAAACATAATTTTGTAAAAGTTCTTTTTATAAAAAGAGCTTTTTTTATAATGAAGAAAAAAAGTTAAAAGTTAAAAATTTCTGAGAGGAGGTTTTTTTTTTTAAAGTATGCTAGCTTTTTGGAGTCGTCATATATATTTTACAGTTTTACCCTTATTCAAAACTTATATTTATAAATTTTGTTCTTTACCTTAATAATCCATCCTAACAATAAATTATTTCATTTTTCTTCCTTCAAATCATTGGAACAACTCTATATAATTACCAAATATTTTTTAACTTTATGTGTAATAGAACTACTTGCACTCATGTGCATAAACCCAACAAGTCGGTGTCGTTGCAAAATCTATCTAGTAACCATAAATGTAGATGATTTGATATGGCTTTATGATACGCGTTGGCAAGTATACTAATCG